CATCAGCATGCACGACAATAGCGCTGTGCTGATGAATCAACCGTCGATCAGATAGTTTAACAATCAAGTGGTATTCGTCATCGTCGTTGTCGCTGTCGTCGTCGTCGTCGTCGTCGTCGTCGTCGTCGTCGAAGTAGTCGTAGTAGTAGTAGTAGTAGTAGTAGTAGCAACACAGTCCGCAAGTCAAGCGTAACGTTGGCAATTGGTATCGCTATCCGATGTGCGCAGGTCACAGTTCATCGCAGTTCAATGTATGCAGCGCCCTGTGCAAGAACCGAAGGGGGGAAGGGTGGCGCTGATGGAAGAAAGGCTAACGTAGGCAGAATAGCAAAACATGATATGATCTGATAGCCACGTGCAAATGCAGAGTCTTGTGGTGGCAGCGGCAGAGCAGTATGACGAACGACGGGCCCATCAAACCGTACAAGAAATATACGCGTCTAGGCGTGGAATGCATAGCCCAACTACAGTCTGTGTTACTGCTCGTGTGTCTCGCGATTCTATGCTCCGAAACCCGGTTGTCAGAAAAGCTTAAGCAGACGAAGCCCGTGTTGGAGAAGTTTAGGGGCATGTGCCCAGGTACACCAGGCCTGTTTAACTCTGGTACCTTGGTGCCACTTGTTCGGAACGGCCTCATTTGCGAGTGGGTGTTATTCCTTCAAACACGATCCCGGAGATGTCTCCGTGATCTTTCGAATATAATGACGGATTGCTCCTCGACGGTTCAGGCCGAAGCACAGAAGAGGGCACAGAGCGTGTGCATAATCTATAGAGCGTACATAGTCTGATCTGGATGGTTTTAAAAGCTTCGCCTTTCGACGCTTCCTTCGGCGCTTCATGCCAGATCCCAAGACGAGAACCCAGAAATCCAGAATAAGAAAACAAGCAGAAAGAAGCCCAGCTGGGTTGCCTCAAGAAGCCCTTAGGCTCTCCGTTTGGTTGGGTGAAGCGACCGGGAGCTCATGATCAGTGTGCTTTCTCGTTACCTATCTGCTCTCACGCGCACACCACATATGCAAGAAGATGCACGTATGCCAGGGACAGACAGACGTACACACCAGCAAGCAGACAGAGCGACCTGAACCATTGAATCAAACACATGTATGTGACTGTATGTATGTATGTATGTATGTATGTATGTATGTATGTATGTATATATATATATATGTATATATATATATGTATATGATATATATGTCGTCATATATCCATATATAGAAATATACCTACAGGAGGGGTGAGACAAGAGACGGGCAAACAGACAGACACAGAGATAGAGACACAGGTGCTTGTAGAACCATATCCATGAGCAGGCTGAGACCACCCATTTACCTTCTTTCATGCTGGAACCGGCTCCCTCTAGGACGCCTGTTGTAACAACGTAACAAAGACTTCTCAAATCCATCATGATTTGGACTAACAGTTCAATAATGCAGTCGTCCGAAAGGGATCCTCTTATAAGCTGAATTCAAATCTATCATACACAGTTTGGAGAGCAAGATCGCTGTCACAGCAACCAGTCCAGGTGTGTCCTGGGCAGTCGGATCACGGCACAGTTGAATCTAAATCCAAAACCTTAAACCCAGTAGCCCCTTAACAAGTGAATCTCGTTCTACTGTTGTTCAAGTTTAAGAGGGAGCCCCAAAACAAAGGCAAAGCAGGTACTACTGGGCCTAGTAAACCCTATGCAGTGTGCTGCGTGAAGCGTTCGCCATTTATGGCTCAGGCTGTTCAGGGAGTCAGGGTTCGGTGGCTTTGAGGGTTTTGTAGGGCTCCCAGCTTTTGGGACTTAGGCTCTTGGTGTTTAGGGGAGGGGTGTTGAAGGTGTAGCGTTTCAGGGTTTATGGCTTCGGGCTTTAAGGCGTTGAGGTTCGGTTGAGAATGCCGGGGTAGCCTGGGAACAACACAGCAAAGATTGTGGGAGTAATGCTTTTATATCAACCGTATGCCTCACCATCAGAATGCTGCAAGCAAAGTCGAGACAATCCTGGCCCGCAGTGAGTGCAAGCAGTTGAGGCTTTCGGTTGCTCGCATCGTGCAGGCAGGCAACCCCGGAATTCCATGGAATTCTTACAGCGCGCTGTTGAGTGCCACTGCCGATGAGATTTTGAGCACTACACTCACAAAATCTTGAAACCATTCAACAACGCAGTTTCCCGGCCACGGCGCACGCGAGCAGCGAGGGGCCCTCCGCTGATGGAGGCGAGGTGGACGCGATCCAACCTTAGCTGGTGGATCAAATCTTCGTGAACCGTCTCCGAGAAGCTGACGTGGTGTAGTAGTCGTCGTCGGCGTCGTCGTCGTCGTAGCGGCAGCAACAACAGCAGCAGTGGCAGTCGTAGCAGCAGCAGCATCAGCTGCAGTCGCAGTAGCAAGAGCAGCAACAGCAAGCGGCAGCAGTAGCGGTAGGAGGCGCAGGAGCAGCGGCAATAACAAGAGCAGGAGCAGGAACACCGCACTATGCCATCTGTACTGTATCCTTCCTCCCACTCGTCAGAGCGGATCAATGAACATGACCGGTAATAGTATGCGCCGTATATAACCACGCTCATCTTGAAACTACTTAGCTCTGTACAGCATTGCAGGTGCAACTAACATCCATTAGGATAGTCATAGTTTTGAATGTCGCCCACCCTAGTAACAGTCCCCACAAACAGAAGCACAACAAAAAGCACCAGCAACACCGTAATTTTTGTCTCGCGCTAAACTGTGTGCTCATGATTGTGCTTTTTCTGGTGCTAAGTTTTGTGCTCATGATTGTTCTTTTTCTTGCGCTAAATTCTGTGCTCATGATTGTGCTTTTTCTGGTGCTAAAGGTTGCTATTGATTTAATCCACTGCGGTTTCAAATCCTGATGCTCATTTCTGCTTGTGTGACATAATATAAGGAACCTTTATTTTACTGTTAGTGGGGACGGCAGCATTTGAAGTCTTAGTCTTCGTCATCGCCCGACAGCCATCTTCAAAATCATCAGGGCCCCTCACCCGCAGCGCCTCAACCTCCCCAGCCTTCGCAAACCGGACTGAAGAGCCAGGCCGCAGTTCGCCAGCAGCTTCCGTGCGCTCGGTCGCTCACGTGGAGCAATGCTGGTGCCTCCGGGGCCAGCCGGGCTTTCGAGGGTCATGGGCCTGTTCTCCCCTGGAGAAGGGAACTCAAGTCATTCAGTGTTTAGGCCCTACAGTCCCCAAGCCGTGAACAGCCGAGAAACTTGAAGATGCGGCCCTTGCTGTTACACAGCCCTGCACTCGGCTTCAGGGTTTAGCACACGGAAGCAACCGACATTGTAAACAGAAAACAAGCCAAAGAGCATGAGCAAACAACAGCAGCAACATGAATGCTGCTAGACAACCCCAAAGCACCTTATATATACATATATATCTCGCCCCACCATGTCGTGCCCCTCACAGCATACCAGTTTACGGTCCATGCCAAGGTTCTCGGATGCAAACGGACCGAGAACTCCCAAAAACCGTGCAGTCAAAACTTGCATGGACATCCTCAAGCAGACCATTAAGAAGAACCCTCAGTCCTGAGAAGCAGGCCACCTATGCCACCTGCTGACAAGATGCAAGCTTTCACCAAGTCCCGGAGTTCACCGTCGACCTTCGGATTGCCGCAAAGGTTCACAACATTTAGGGAGTTCAGGGCTCACGATTAGAGGGTTTAGGGCTTAAGGACTTTAGAGTTTCTGCAATGGCCTGCAGAACATGACCCCTATCGCCTATCGCACAGGCTTTCCAGGGATCTACATCTGGGGGCGCTGACTCAGGGAGGTGAGACCTATCCTTCGAAAGTCAAGACTCTTTAGGGATTGGGGCTTGGCAATCTTCAGGCAATGTTTTCTGGAGTTTCATGCGCTGCACTTAACTATTCTTAGCTTGGTCGCTCTAGATTCTAGATATCTTCACCCCATAGAGCCCCTGCTGTGCCAGAAAACCCTGCAAACTTATCGCCTATTCTTATGTAGGGCTTGTGGGTCTTTAGGGCTTCAATTACACAAAAGCCTTGAGGAGAGTCGGTGTCACGCTAGGGCTGCTAGAATGCAAACTCGAGAATGGATAACATTACCATCATGCCTATCCCGGAATCAACCTTTCCCAGAACCAGCCCAAGCCAAACACATTTACATTTTAAAACCCCGAAGCCCTAAAGCCCTGAACACAAATGCCCGACGTGTTACATTGATAGCTTGGGCCTCAGGGTTGTAGCGATAGGATTCTAGGCTTTAGGTCTTGGGGTAGTTCGACTCTGTAGGACTTTCGAGTTTACGCTGCTGCGGTTTCCGTGTGGGGCGGGCTCGTGCATCGACGTAAGAACTGAACATGGGTTTAAGTTACAGGGTTTGGAAGGCTTCGGCGATTGAGCCTAGCAAATATGTGAACCCTTCGAACCGCCAGACGCCCGAAGCCAAGCCGGGCCGAAGTCTGGCTACACAAACTCCTTCCGTCTACCAAGTTGAACCGAGTAGTCGAGACGAGAAACTGTCCGGCATCCAAAAGTAAGGCTGTTTCGGAAAACAACGCTTGCACGCTAAGACCTGACCCAAGAAGCACCCTGATCCCCCCCAAAATATCCCAGACCACGGTTGTGCCGCCTGTTCGGGCAATGGAGGCATTTCCTGCGGCCGTGGCTGGAGCTGATAGTTGTGGTTGCTATAGAGTGAAAACCAACAGTGACCAAAAGCAGCGCCAGCACGAGTATCAACAACCACAACAACGACGACAACACCAACACCAAC